GTAGTTCGAAAAAGCGAGGGTCAAATAGTGGAATTAGAGTTAGAAGGTGGGAGAATTATGCGTCGACATCTGGACCAAGTTCGCAGCCGAACGGACACAGTAAGTGGAGAATTCGGAGAGTTAGAACTGCCAGCAACCCTTGATAGGGATCCTGACATCCCGAGGACTGAGCCCCTTCTTCCTGCACAGGTCACTACGCCATCCACCGAGGCTTATGTTCCACCTCCTTCTACCCCGGCGAGCACTAACTTAGGGGCAGAGGAGTCAGTGACTGCACAAAGCGGCGCAGAGGTAGAAAATACCGCCCTGAGAAGATCGACCCGAAACCGCAAACCTGTCCAACGCTTTCAGGACGAATCTTATTAGAACATTGTCTGACAATCCACTATTACCTATACTGTTCCCCTCCCCTCCCCCTCATGCTCTCCACTTCAGGGTGGAGGGATGCAGCGTATCCTGCCCGGGCCGTCAGGACATCATGCCACAAACGCGTGACAAGCGAACGATCAAGGTCATGGCCCCCTGTTCACACCGTCTTTATGCTGATTGGCCACCCATCAGCCAATGACAGTCCCCCTTGCCATATACCCGGCCGTTTCCACAAGCCTCCTCACTTGTGCTGTCTATCGTACTCAGTACACGTCCTATTTCCAATTAGCCTTCTGTTTTGCATACATAACAAAGAGGACCATCGTCCTTGGAACGTATTGTAGGTGACCTTGCGCTTAATTACAAGGGGCGCCTATTCCTGCGTCCTACCTCTAATCTAACACTAACGTTATCTCGCATGGACTTTAGTGTAATGTCATCTGAAATATAGAGATGGCACCTATAACCGTGTCCTAACAGAATAACACCATATACTTAGGGCAGACAGGATAACCAGACCACTTTCCCCATTCGTTGGATCTAGCCGTCGGCTAGCTGTTTTCTTCAGACAATCTCTTAGCTCGATTAAAAAATATCACAAATCGAGGGCAGAACAGAAACATCGTTCTGAAGATGGAAACGACGATAAAGCCTGGGCAATCTGCGACGAAAGGGTAAGGGTAGGAAAACCTCATCCCCAACATTAATAATTTTCTTACGGGGGACAAAACGAGAAATAAGCGGATCCAAAATTTCGTACAGATTTGCAGTGCAAACATTTACATCCGAACTAAGGAAGAAATCAGTCCAGTCGTAGG